ATTAAAAAGATAGAAAACCAATTGGCTCGATACTGTGTCACAAATCCCTAAACACAGATTGCTTTTGGATCACTGATTGCAACATTTTAATGCTCTCTATGTCGCAAACTTATTTATCTAAATAAATAACGTGTCTTTCATTCATCACACTACCTAATATAAATATGACACTGTATACATTTAGTCCAATGATTCTGGATGGGTGCATAATCAGTATTTAGGCTATAAGATCAGTGAACATGAGCACAAAATCCTCTTCCTTTATAATGTGGAAAATGTTATTTTAAAAAAATCAGTTGGTTTCCCTGCTGATGGTGCACAGCACTTTTTAGCATTCACTATGAGTGAAAAAAAACATAATGATCAGCTATCATCTCAGCACAGCGGGCACATCAACCACACATGCGGAAACACTTCTTTGCAGCAGTGATAAAATGGTTTCTGGGTAAATGTAGTCTGTGGTGAGCCACTCATTCATCGTGGCCATGTTCTTACCCATACAGAGAGGGCTCACTGTGCATTCATTGTCCTGTAATAAGCTTGGGTATTTTTGTCAGTTTTAATCTAGTAGTCAACAACAACTAAAAAGTAAAACAACGCTCACACTCACAACAAGTGAGGAAGTCCAACCAAGTTAGGGACTAAATTACTTGCTTGCATGGGAATAAAGTAATACCTTTAAATTAGATAAGAAAGTGCCAGGGTGAGAACCAAAACAAATAAACAGTAAAAGCAGGGACAGTGAAGTCAGTGCACTAATAAGCCTTTAGGAATAGAATAATTTGTTTCCGTCCTCTGGACAGGGAAGTGCAGCACATCTGTTTCTGTTACACTAAAATGGTGAGCTGAACTCTTTATGCATTTGCATCTTTGAGCGTGTGATGCTTTGTAATGCAGTGATTTTAGTTCTTTTCACGTATTTACAGTGATTTACATGAAAGCCTTTTGTGAAATGGTGCATACTCACCTGGTGACAAGTTATTAGCAAGGCAGACCAGACGAATATCCCTGAAAGGACCTGGGCAGCCACTGTGTTTAAAAACATCCCATTCTGTATGATTGCTCCGTTGCCTGATACAATAATGGTCATGTTGGACATGCCTGATTTTGAAGCATCCAGGGCAGACGAATTATTTTCGGTTAATGAAGCCATGTCTTCCGAAGAAAGGTTCATCTGAAACAGAAAGAAAACACACCAAGTCGGTTTAGTTTTTTTTTTACAGTGAGCACACGGCCCCTCTGTGTTTGACTGAGTGACTGTATGCTGTCCATTAGGCACAAGACAAAAAAGGCAATAGTGTTTGCTAAACGGACACAAGTGCCATTTTTAAAGAAAAGAGATGAATGTGGTTCAAATGATCTTATCGACTCGTACCTTCTTTACAGTCAACAAAGAGATCTCCTTGTCCCGGAGAGGGCGGAAGTAGCTTTATCGCGTTTAGAAGTCACTGTCCACGAGCCAAAATTACACGACGAGCTTTAAGGGTGAAATATATTTTCAGAACAGCTAAACGTGACAATTTAGGCCCATTTACTAACCGCTCGTTGACTTCATCCGCGACGCAGTCAACAAACTAGACTTCCTTGTTTGAGGCAGGTGTCTCGCAGAGGCCGAAGTCCACACAGTCGGAGAGCATAAAAATGCTTCTATAGAGTATACAGATATTGCGATAGAACCCGAATTTACTGCGAGATGCTACGAAATAACAAATAAAATTATAAACAGCAGAGATTTGAACGTATCCTCGAGTGGCGACTCTGGGAAGCGGCACAAATCAACAGGTTTACAGGTGGAAGGTTCACGTGACCTGGACTTGACGCCTGTCGTCATCACGTTACTTCAGTGACAGAAAGTGCGGCACATTTCCGCTCACAGGTGCGCTTACACCTGAGGCTAGAGGCAGAGGTTCGCATAGAGTTCAGTGGTTACGTCAAAGGCACATCAGGATCACCCATCATCATCATCTGTGACACAGCCAAGGATATGCACCCAGACCCCAAGAATTATTGGTGAACTGGATGATTGCACCGACTGTAGCAGCATTTGCCGGCCTCCTCTCATATTATATACATCATGTATAGCAAGACCACTGACTGTTGCTGCAAGATCACATAGACGGTGGCAGGACTTTCTTTAAAGGAGCCTGGACCAACAAACTCAGTGACACCTTGGTGCTGGTTTTGTATAATTAGACAAACATCATCTTATTCTTTACGTTGTCATATTATTGTAAAGTTTTTGTTATTGACTTTCCGTTTCTATGGGCTCTGCCTTCTGCCCTGTTTATGGGGAAAAATCTAAGATAAGATTCAAATATGAGATGGTATTCTCTGATGGATTTAGATGAATGCTCAAGTGCACTAAAGCTCTAGCCTCTCATCAATGAGGAGCGCCCCTATGCAAAGTTACATGAAACAATAGGAAATTGGATAAACGCAGTGCTTTATTATGTTCTATTTCTAGTTCTACATTATTCATTTCTTTAGATGTTTTATTTAATGATGATGCTTTGACAAAAGTTGATAGATTTATAGTTACTTCTTGTCTTCTCTTCAAGGCAGACCCTAGGAGGAATTTGAGGAAGGTTACTTGGTATGAAGATAATAAAATATGTAAAATATGACCTGGCCTCATTAAGGGAACATCGGGTTATATGACATAAAGTGCTATTCAGTACCTGTTCATACTATTTTTATGAACTCACAACTTGTGACTGAATATTTAAAAAATGTTGTCTTTTCCTAATAAGTTTTCCTTGATGTTAGTATAAAGAATCATGAGAAAGAAAATAACGCCCAGTGCTCCAAAAATGCTTGTGCTTTATTTTACTTGATAATGTGACAGCGGACATTGTTGATGTGACTCATTTAAACTATGTTGGCTGGAATAAAAATGAATAACAGTGAAAAATATCATTAATTAAAAAAATAAAACCCCAAAAAAAAAAACGTAACAGGAAAGAATTCAGTTGCTGCTTTGTTTTCAATCTTATACTAACTTTAGTTAATTTATGAATATATTTTGAAACTGCAACAAGTTGTTTAACCCACAGGCAAACTATGACCACAGCACTTTAGTAAAATCGGGTGGTAATGATGTTGTTGCCCTGTGAGAAGCACTTTGTAACGTTGATTTAGAAAACTGTCTTGCTATACAAAGATAATTAGCTATAATAAAATGATCAAAGTGAAGAGGGCTGTAGTGTATCTCAATTTGCATTATGGCATTGCTGAAAAAATGCTAATAATACTTACCCTTAACAAGTGCAAGAGTTAAAATTGATCATCTCTTTAAATGGAAAGCAACCATATTTATTTAAGTTCATTTCTTTTCTAAATTCCAGCCTTGGTAATCAAGTGATATTATATCACCTTTATTTATTTCAGACAAGATAAGTCCCTATTATTATAAAAGGGAAAAAAATAACAAAAGTACTTTTGTTATATTTATACTGACTGCAGACCTATGAAACAGAACAGTGAGATTACATGGGTTGGGTTTTCTCAGATGGGCTTTTTGTGGTCAGTTTTTATGTCGACAATGCAGTTTCAGTATTTCAGTTTATTTAAATCACATTTTTTGAGGCAAGTTCTTATTGAACGTGAATGAAAACAAAAACATTAGAAAGGCACAAATTGTTTGATTTAGGAGAAACACAAGGAATTCATCACGTTTTAATTTAATACACCATTGAAATGTCTGCTTAATCTTTTGTAAACAAGAGAAAGATATTCTTTTGTAAAGCAAGAGCCTGGAATATGCTCAACTCAGAAAACAGGTAGTTAAAAGTTTTCTTCCATGAAGAAGGTTAAAAATATAAGATGGCATTCCTTTTAGTTTCATTTGATGCACTTACAAATTCACACACTCAGGCACTACTGCTGTGCGAACTGGTTATGTAATGCTAGTCTGTGAGGGTTTTAGTTTCATGTCTTAGGATGAAATTTGGATTAAGATACTAACATTGAAAATTGGACATAAATATGCAAATTGCTTTATTAAATAAGGTGCATTTATATTTTTGCTACATTGATTTCAACAGAACATGTAAACATTACATTCTTGAAATGTATACTCTGAGTTATAGATTATATACATTTATGTTTTAGGATAATTCAGTATTTTTGTAATTTTCTCTCTCTATGCCACCACAGTGTTGTCCCATTCCCATTTCAATCAAACAATCAAGATATGATAGAAGTAGCAGGATGAATTGTGAAACGTATAGAGTTATACTCTGCTCAGATCCAGCCAAATGCTGCAAAACTGATCAGACAGTGCTTCACAGTACAAATGGATAATGACCCAAAGAATACTGCAAAAGCAAACTAAGAGTTTTTCAAGGCAAAGTCATGGGATATTCAGCGTGCAAGCCAGTCACCTGATCTCAACCCCATGGAGCATGCTGTTGCGCTACTGAAGACAAAACTGAATGCAAAAAGGCAGTAACTGAATGTAGCTAAAAGTCTGGAAGAGCATCTCAAGGTGAGAAACATTTGGTAATGTCCGTGGGTTCAATACTTCAGTCAGTCACTAACTGCATTTTAAGCCTCTGAAAGTGGGAGAGGCACTTTTATCCAAGGCCTAACTCCTAAATAGTTGCAAATCAAAAAGACAGAAAACCAATTGCAAATCATTTCGTAAAACCACTTGAATTGAAGTTGACAGTCTGCACTTCAATCACAATTTCACTGCTTGACTTAAAATGCCCTGTGGGAGTGAAGCGAAAAAAAATGTGTCAGTTTCCAAATATTTATGGACTTGACTATACAACTTCACAAATGTAACAAAAATGTAGTATTTGTATATTAATGTCAGAAAATAAAATAATTTTTAGATGGCTATAATAAAATAATCTTTTAAGAAAGCTGGTCATTTTTCTCTGAAATTAAATAAATATTTCAGGGGTTTGGTCTATAGGTCCAGGATAAGACATCTAAAGGCTTTTCTTACTCCCATCTTACATTTAAACCAAAAAAATTGACCAAGCAAAACAAAATTGAGCATATTAATTACATTTAATGCATATAAAAGTTAGCTATTGTTCTAATATCAAAGCTCAAGTAGTGAGATGTTATAGAACAAATGAATAACAAAATGTACTTGACAAAACCAAGGCTCTTATCTTAACCAAGCTCATATGCATCTTTAAATACAAATGAATCATATGTTCTATAAAAGGCTTTTTTTCACAAAAGTACAAAGTTCTGAGGATGATGACAAAAATAATCCAGAGTGTTAATAATGAAAAAAATATACAGCGATGACATCATTTTGCAAACCATCACTTAGCACACCTTGAGCTTTTGAAAGGAAAACAACATGCAGAAAATCTTTCTTTTTAACAAACAGTTAATTATGCGTTTCATAAATCATGTTTTGTGGAAGACAATCTGCTCTGCACATTTATGTCTTGGAGACATAATTGTTTTAATCAGATTAATTTTTGGAGGAGTTTCATTTAAAAAAAGATGCAGAGATAAAACGTGACAGTGTATCCAGACGAGCTGTATTTTACGCCGCCTACAGGCTTCATGTCCGTTTTAATTACTTCCTACCAGACTTGACAACTTTTGATCATCTCTTTAATTTGTTTTATTGCATCTATGGAGGAATCCTTCAGTGCCAGTCCCAGCAAGACAGGCCGGTTGCCAGATTCCTGCGACACGAACATTGCCAGGTTTTTGGCACAGACATGTGTCAGAGGCTGGAAAGAGAAAAATCAGGCATTAGATTATAACCAAAGCATTATTTGTTCAGTTCGCTTAAATCACACACATTATGACTACAACTAATTCATTTGTTGAGGTTCCCCTGCAGGGAAATCATACAACACACTTTAATTTTCTGTGTCATGACTGTAAACTTCAAAGCGCACAGAAAGCCTGTGTAATGACCTCTATGTACTTTCTCACTCGATCTAAAACAGTTGTTCACTTTACAAGAAACAAGCATTGCAAGTATCACCATTTAAAATGGCTAGAGGAGCAAAAATAACAAAAAAGTATTCATAAGCAAGTAAACTTTGTATTAATCCAATAAGACACTGATACTACTTCTCCTGCAATGTATGACTGTGAGAAAATGACATGCTCATGCAGAGATGAAATAGGTTTTCTTGAGTAAATCTTAACAGACCACTGAGCTTCAGGCCTGCACACATCTAATTTCGCCACAATCCGCCTGAGCAGTCCAGAATCAATCTCATTTGCCCTTTAACGGCATGAAATGAGATACCCTGTGTCGCAACAAGTCTGCCTGATGTCCCGTGAACAAGTTTGCATCACACTGACACGATATTTGTGTGAACAATTTCAGCCAGTGTACCTCATCTTTGCCCAGCAGTACTTTTGTAGAGAACGTTGGGGTGCTTAGATCATTAGATCTGGAGTCGGGTGTGACAGAGATCAATGTCCCAATTTTGCCATACTGAGTGAGAACTACAAATATGTAATTACTGAACTCTGTACAGACGACTTCTGTTGGAATTCCATTGACTTCTCTCTGAGCTTGTTTCGATCTGATGACAGACTCAGACATTTTGTTAACCCTGCACAGAAAAAAAAAAGACAAAAATATGTACATGGAGTTTACAATGCAAGAGTATTTGCAGATTTTTAAAAATTTTAAACACAATATTTTAAATATTAATTATCTGCCACATGTTGTGGACAGGTTTAGTTTCCCACAGCAAAATTATACATCTGGAACTTTATACACCATGCAACTATGCTTACAATGACTATCACAATTTCTGTAGACCTAAGATAAATTCTTCAAATTGCATTTTCTATTACACCTAGAGTTTATTATCTCATATGACAATTAAACCGGCCCTTTCTCTAAAAAATCATACCACTATTCAAGTATAATAGGTACACATTAATGCTGCTAATCATGTCATAAAATAATCTACCAAAATGTTTCACTCATGTATTTATTTGGTGTGAACTGTGGAGTTCTTCTAGGTTTGTGCAAGTGCAAATCCCTCTCCAGTCAGCTTCAGGTATTCTTGATTACTAAAGGGCTTGCTATGTGTTGCATCCTCCCTGTTGTTTGTGTGCATGCTCGTTTTTAAACTGCACATCTGGTGGTTTCAAACCAGAGCTACAGGCGCAATATTATCTCATTTATTAGTAAATGACATTTTCAAACTAATAAGCTATCAGACTTTTCAGATACAATGCTGCACTAAGTACAGTTAGAAAAAGCTTGCTTTGAAGAATTATGCCCTTACTAAAAAAAAACGCATTCAATCACTTGGATCACAAATTGACTATATGTGTTATTTTCCTACCCTGTCGTCATCAACTCCCCACAAGGGATGCTGCATGCTCAGAGGCTAACGTTAGCTACACAGCTAGCCTGAGCTTAGACAGTGTATTAACCGATGGAATAAAAATACATACGTTTTCCCCCGTCTGTGAACAAATTCCTCTCCCTGTGTCTTCAGCTGCCCACAGTTTAAACTTTACTCTTGACAGAATCGCCTCACTTTAACTCAACTTCAGCCGTGCTCTGTCATTCAGCCTCCACCGTGAAAACAAACCGAAACGAACGTGCCTCGTTTTGTTGTGCGCGAGTACTCTGCGTGATGACGTTTTGACGTCACGCTCATTCCACCTCAGGACAAAGCGAGCAAGGAAGAAACGCTCGCGGTCAGGTTGAATGCAAAATAGATTTGTATATAAGCAACGTTATTATAGTTAACTAAAATTAAACTAAAAACCAAATATACATGTGAAAAAATTAGTTTGGTTAACTAAAAAAATGTTTCGGTTTTTGATAAGAAAAAAGATACAAGTAAAAACTAACTAAAATTTCAAAAACGAACTAAAATAAAATAAAAAATAAAACATCTTGCCTTCGACACATGCCCTCCATACAATAATATTCAAAAACACTAAAACTAACATTGACACTAATAAAAACTAAAATAAAAACTAAGCATTTTTAAAAAATAAAAGCTTAACTGAAATAAGAAAATCCGCTTGGCAAACCAAAACAAAATAAAAATACATACTAATTAGAAAACGGAAAACTATAATAACTGCATATAAGTCAGCATAAAGTGCAAAGAACCTTGATTCAAATTCATTTTATGTGTGGTTCAAACTATTTGTTGTTGTGAAATAAGTAGCTAATTTTTAGAGAGCAAACATATGACAATTACAAGCATCAGGAATAGGCTATATTAAAAGCTTCGTGAAGTTGCACCTGCTGTGACTATGTCTAACATCATGATAAAGTTTTTTTTAATACAGACTTTTTCTGTAAAAATATTAATAAGTATACTTTTTCCATAGTTATTGGTTTTCCAAGTGTACTGGTCAATATGATTCATTTTGAAAGTCCTGCAAAAATATATGTTTAAGCAAAATGGGTAGCTGCAGCAAAGTAAATATACATCTCACAATGAAAGTTGTTATCAGCCCTCTTGTTTCTGGTTTGGTTTAGGAGAACAGTCTCCTTTTAGAAAGATTTGCAGGTTACCTTTTCATGCCCTTGGCATTGCTCTCACAAAACAGTTCCTTAGAAAATCCTCACAAACATGTTGTGGACAAGGGAAGTTTAGTTTCCCACAGACTTGAGGAATTAAAACACTTAATGCGTAAAGAGATCTTTGAGTTTTATTTTTCTCATACATTAAATATTCAAGGTTCTGGCATTGTTCACTTTGCATTATTATACTGAGAATGATTTAGCCAACTTTCATAAAGTATTATCAAAAGGGAATTTGTTTGAGCTTAAATTAAATCGGATCCCCTGGCCTGGTACATTTCAATCAATATTAGCCAACAGAAAGAGCTTTTCCAAAGCAAGCAATCACAGAAGCAGGATGTTTTTAATTAACTGTCAATGGAGCTTTAAAGAAGCAGATAAAGTTACGCCTTTTATTTTTCAGTTTATTTAATTATTTACTTTTGCTGTGGGTTTCGTTAAAATGTGATTTCACACTACTGGCTGAACAGTCCCTTTGTTTGATGAGGAGGCTGTAAAAGTCCATGGCACTATAACAGGAGATGAAAACAACAGATAGGGATGGACATTACAGTGTAATAAGTGGTATTTGCACTTCATCATTTTCTTTGTGCCTGACAGACAGTAATAAAAAAAATAGCTAACACACATGAGATGAAAACCACCTGCAAATGTATTGCCTCGACATTTAACGTATTCTAGTATTTGTGTGTAGGCCATGCAAGTACTGTTAAGTCGGCCCTTTACATTTAGACTACAGATTGGCCAACCAAGGCAGTCAGATTTGCTAATACAGCTAAAGGAGATACAGGCAGATGAGAAATTTTCACTGTTGGCAAAAATGCTTGCATGACTTTTTTTTTTTCAAGTGGATGTGAGGCTTGACTGAAGTTTGTGAGTGCTGCATCAGGCTGATTCGAAAGGAGCCATCCCTATGAACATGACACATTCACAATGTCAAATAGAACAGGCTCAGCAGAATTGCTATGCACTCTGAGTAGGCAGCATTAGCTATGAAATTGGTTGGACCGCTCCCTATACTCCCTGACTGACCATCTGTGTCCTTGACTGATGATTCTGATCTAAACAAAATTGTAATGCAAATATCAATATATAGTATTTCTACATTAATGTACAGAATAAGCTGATCCTTTCTTTTGAATTTGGGTGAGTTAAAAATCACTGTTTTATTTCCACAACATGAATAGAAGGCTTAGAGTTTTACACTTTGTGAGCCTTCAAGTGCACGAGTAGCAAATGGGCACAAGGTTTGGGAAAATTGTGAACATTCCTGTTGGAATAAATAAACATGTCCTTGTTGAAAATTGATAGAGCTACTTTCATAGCTGATTCAAAAGGATAAAGCTGCTTACAAACACAGCTTTCAGCTTTTTGATATCCAGGGAGTACACTATTTTATTTTTACAGATAAATAAAAGATGACAGATGATAAGAAAATAAGACAATTCACATTAAAGAAATAAAAGAAAGAAAGAAAGAAACAGAAATACTAGGATAAGGCATGTTGTATGTACCAGTCATGGTGGACAGTCTTAACATTTGACTTATGCGATCTTTTAATTTTTGTGTTGTAAGCACATTCTGGGCATCATAAGAAGAATCAGGTTTTTCATTCTCAACTTGAAAATGGAGACCATATTTTTTTCTTCAAAGTTCTTCAAAGTTGAAGTCATTTTTTCAAAATGTGCATGAGCTGCTAGCAACTTAAGCTTTATGGTAATGTGAATCCTGTGCAAGACTTTAAAATGAATTTGTTGAATATTTGTGTTGCACAAAAGGGAAAAACTATTATTTATATAGATTGCCCATTGATGTCTAATTATTCACTATTTAGCTCTGATGCCCATTTATTTGAAGAGAGCACACTTTTCCTAATAAAGGACGCAGAGCTTAAAACTGTGGATATCAGTTTTGTACTTTGGAGTTTCTTTCAGCTGTATATAAATCGTGTAAAGCTACACTTTCAAGTTGTTCTTACATTCAAGATCAACACACAAAACAGAGATCTGTGCTAGCTACATGGCCCCTTCACTGAAGGTTCTCATAAAAGTTTTTTCATCCTTTAATTTTGTCTGTCTTTGTCTTCATCTGAGTTACATCAGTAATATTTCTTCAATCTTTAATCAGTTTGAATATGTCCTCAGGGTCCTTGTTATTTTAATTGCCAACAATTATGACATGAAAGGACAGGCATGTGTTGCCAAGCTGTTTCAAAAATCTTTTTTTTTTCCACATCACGGATTTTGACTTCAGATCTCTACATGTAAGAGTCCAAAGAAGCAAAGAAAAAACAGTGGTTTCAACAGGTTTTTGGGATATGGTTTAATGACAGCAAATGTCACTAAGACTTTGAAATGAGTGCGTGTCCGTGTATTATTAAATAGCAAATTACTAAAGGCATTGCTGTAAATAATGAGTTTTAGAGACAATAACGTCTATAGTGGTTTTTCCTGGGATTCAAGGGCTCTTGCTGTTTCCAGGTAAATTGAGAAACCATATAGTCATGTGCACCTGTAGCTCAGGTGGAAGAGCAGGTTGTCTACTAATCACAAGGTCGGTAGTTCAATCCCTCTCTTCTCCAGTTTTCCATAATCCGTGGAAAACTGGAGAAGAATACAAATCAATGCTTTGTATTCTTCTCTTCATCTATTTTTATATTTGCTGCTTTTGCCCATGATGTCACTAAAAGTAGCCTTGCACCTGCACTGAATGAATATGCTCTGGAGCCATGCTTTGGAGGTCCTTGAAAGCAAAGCTTTTTGATTTCGAATCACATAAGTGAGGACATTTTATTTTAGTTTCTAGCTGTGTAAATAGATTTGCTCTCAAAAGGAAAAGGGAAGTCTGACCATGGTACATTTCTGGAAGAGTTACTGATACTTAAGTGTTCTCAGTTTTATAAACACATCCCATCCTTCTGTCTGTATGAGTAGTCAAGCGTTTTCTCTGTATCACACACAGACGGTCTGTGTCAAAATGTCAACCCATGTAAAAAATATCTTATTTTGCTGAACGAAGCCACGGCTGTTCCATCACTTCATT